CCTTTTTCTGATTCTTGCACCCATGTGGCTTTGCCGCGCTCACTTTCTGATCATCAGTGCGCTGTGCAGTTTACTTCAAGGGCAATCACAGCAGCTGCTCGGGGTCCGTCTTATTGGAAACTAAATGTGGCTCTCATGAAAAGACCGGGCTTCAAAAAGATAGTTGATGATGTGATCTCTGGTTTCAAAGAGTCCCAACATCTATACCAAGATAAGTCTACTTGGTGGGAAATGCTCAAACTCAGCTTGCAAATGCGTCTCAATGAATATGGTAAGCAGCAGGCAGGAAGGAGAAAGAGAACAATTCTAACATTGGAATCGCAACTTTCACAGGTGAATCAAAGTCTGGCGAATGATCCTGACAAGGACTTCTTGAAACTTGAGAAGGTGAGATTGGATGTATTGCTGTCAGAATATTACGAAGATATATGTGAAGCTGCAAAGATCAAATCAGGTTTGAGATATCATGTTTCAGGGGAGAGACCGACCAAATACTTTTCTGCTTTGGTCAAGCAGCGCGCTGAAAAGTCTGCCATCACATCGCTCACATGCAAAAGGAACGGTCAGGATATTTCATTGACTGACATTGAAGACATTCTGGAAGAGGCTTCCATTTTTATGCCACTCTTTACTCGAAGAAGCTATCTGAGGCTCAGACCAAGGCTGGCAATAAGTACCTCGATAAGACCTTAAAGCGAAAGCTTGGGGTGGCTGCAAAACAATTCTGTGATAGGACTTTGTCAGTTGAGGAACTTGGCTCTGCGTTGAAAAAGCTCCCTGGAGGTAAAGCTCCTGGAATTGATGGACTTCCAAGCGAATTTTTCAAAATGTTCTGGAAAGATTTGAAAGACGACTTTCTCCAAGTACTTCAGGATAGTTTTCAGTCTGGATGTTTGCCTTATAGTATGAGAATGAGCATCATCACATTGATTTACAAAAAGAAGTCCAGATCAGACATTCGTAATTATCGACCTATCTCTCTACTATGTACCGATTACAAGATCATTGCTAAGACGTTAGCTGAACGAATGAAGGTTGTTCTTCCTGCTATCATCCACGAAGATCAAA